AAGAAGAAGAAGAAGAATGAAAAGAAGAAGAAGAAGAATGAAAAGAAGAATGAAAAGAAGAAGAAGAAGAATGAAAAGAAGAAGAAGAAGAATGAAAAGAAGAATGAAAAAAGAAGAGGAAGAAGAATTAAAAGAAGAAGAAGAAGAATGAAAAGAAGAATGAAAAGAAGAAGAAGAAGAATGAAAAGAAGAAGAAGAAGAATGAAAAGAAGAAGAAGAATAATGAAAAGAAGAATGAAAAGAAGAAGAAGAGGAATGAAAAGAAGAAGAAGAAGAATGAAAAGAAGAATGAAAAGAAGAAGAAGAAGAATGAAAAGAAGAAGAAGAAGAATGAAAAGAAGAAGAATGAAAAGAAGAATGAAAAAGAAGAAGAAGAATGAAAAGAAGAAGAAGAAGAAGAATGAAAAGAAGAATGAAAAGAAGAAGAAGAAGAATGAAAAGAAGAAGAAGAATGAAAAGAAGAAGAATGAAAACAAGAAGAAGAATGAAAAGAAGAAGTATTCCAGTACAGCAAAAAGTGTATCTGCAGAGAGCTCCGCTATTTCTGACAGTTCTCTGACAGTTCCTTCACATTTACAGCGGTTGAAACATTGTATCTATTTATTTCCGAATAAAAACATCTGTATCCTAAATGGAAACAAATAGATACAATGTTTCAACCGCTGTAAATGAACTGTCAGAACTGTCAGAAATAGCGGAGCTCTCTGCAGTGACACTTTTGCCGGCTGATTGGGAAAAATTCGATTCGTGCACCCGAAGTTTGCTAAAATTCGGATTCGATGCGAATCGAATTTTTCTTGAAATTCGAAACGAATTCCACTTCGCCAGGTTCGATTCGCTCATCTCTATTTCTAACATATAAAGCCAACTCAATCTATCAAATGCCTTGTGGGCATCCAAACTTAAAAGTAGGGCTGGTGTTTTAGTACTATTAGCTACATTGATTAAGTCTATCGTCCTTCTCATATTATCACCTGCTTGTCTAGCCAGTACAAAGCCGACTTGGTCCTGATGAATAAGTCTAGGTTGGATAGGGGCTTGTCCATTCGCCAGAATTTTGTGAAAATTTTGTAGTCTGAGTTGAGAAGAGCTATAGGTCTATAGTTAACCAGAGCTGCAGAGCTTTTCCCAGGTTTTGGGATGATGGTAATATATGAGTGTTGAAATTGGGAGTTGGGAGTTTCTTCAGAAAGTAAAGATAATATAAAAGGGCTAACAGCAAGGGAGCTAAGCTAGGAAGAAATTGTTTATATTAAGAATAGGTAAACCCATTGAGACCTGGTGATTTATGTAAAGGTAGGTCTTTAACTACTTTTTCCAATTCTTCATAGGCAATGTCATTATTAAGAATGACAAGGTCAGTATGTTTAAGTTTAGGTAGGGAAGATTGGACATTAAATTTTCAAAAGCTTTTATATTAAATTGTGGGTGGAGTTTTGGAGAGAGACAATTATACAATTTACTATAGAAGAGGCCAAATGTTTTAGCTAAGGTGTAAGAGCAATAGGTAGAGGTAACATCTGGTTGAAAAAGGAATTCATGGATTGATTGATGAAGATTGGCTTGTAGCTTATTCACCAATAGTCTGTGGGGTTTATTAGCAAATTCGTAAAACTTTTGTTTCGTCCATAACATGCTCCTCACCAAACCATTGACATCCATAGCCTTAAGCTGATTCCTTAATAATACTGCTTTAGTGAGCTGCTGCATCAGTTCAGCTCTAGCTTTTGCGAAATCTTGTTTAAGTCATGAACTGGCTGCTATACAATGTCCTCTTATGTAGGCCCTATGGGCCTCCCATAAGATGGAAGCTCCTTTAACCAACCCCCGTGTTGAGTTTGAAAAACTCCTCAAGGACCTCAGAGCAGTTTTAATGTTTACATTGTGTAGCAATGAGCCATTGACACGTGCGTGGTGTGGAATCAACTATTAATATGTCTAGCACTATAGAAGAATGATCAAACCATGTAATTGGATTAATGTCTGAGCCTGTCATAAACTTAAGTAGTGGGGCAGAGACAAAAAAGATCCAATCTGGTGTAGACACTGTGCATCTAAAATGAGAATTGTTTAGAAGTAGGACGTCTTATTCTCCAGGAGTCAAACAGTCTAGACTCCCTGAAAGTTGACTAAAAGACACCGAAAGTTTTGAAAGCTGTTTAGAAGGCAGGTGGCCCAAAGGGATTTTTCAATCTCTGTTAGGGGACATGATTAAATTAAAGTTTCCCCCCACAACTGTGAATGAGTGTGAGGAAAGTAGCAGGGAGGAAATTACATTGTTTAGAAGACCCATTTGGCCAGAGTTCGGTGCATAGACGTTGAGAATAGTAATGGCAGTTCAGCCTAGATTACAGGCAAGGTATACAGAACGGCCATGAGGTTCTAATTTGGAGGAATGGCTGCCTAATTAGGATGGCAACTCCCGCTTTTCCTGTCAAATCTGAAGGTGCATATACTGAAGGAAAATATTTAAGTGCATAATTAAAGTTACTTCCTTTGCGGAAATGTTTTTCCTGAATCAGAATGATGTTAGCATGGGAGTGTCTAAATTCCTTCAGGGCCTGCCACCTCTCTTTCGCAGAGTTCAAACCTTTTACATTACAGGATAAAATACATAAAGACATTGTACCTTAAAAAAACATAGCATCATGATAGTGCAGGTCAAATAAGCAAATAAATCAAATAGGGTAACAAAAAGAAACTGTAGTAACTGGGGATGATAACTGTAAAAAGAGAGGAGAAAAGTCTTTGAAAAAAGACATGCAAAGGGTCTCTTCAAACAAGGGGTCTAGGAGAGACCCAAAATTCCAGGTTAACAGAGTTATCACAAATAGGAAACCTGAGAGTCATAGCCTTCTCAGGTGACAATGAAATGAGGCTTAGGTAGTAGGAGGGACATGGCGATGTTGAGGACAGGGTGGAATCTTCCCCAAGTCCAACAGAACTTCAATGGCAGTAATTATTAGAATGCTCTGTAGTGTGATCCACAAAGGTAAGCCAAAGCATCCACTTAAGGATACAGGAGTGTGGGCAGAGTTACAAAAATAGAGTCCCAGGTATGGATCCAGGTTAACTGGGTATTCTCACGAAACAGAAGAAAATTGAGAGGTAGGCGTATGCTGAGGAACAGGAATATTGGTCTTTCCCTTGGACTTAGCTGTGGTCCTAATTTTGCTTGGAGTGGTCATTGGTCTAGGCCTGGGAATTGGCATAGACAGGGCCTCTTCTGGTAATAGTGGAAGTCTAAGATTCTTAAGAAAGGCCTCACCTTCTTGTAGATCTCGGATACTATGCTGTACTCCATATTTAGAGACTGTAAGTTTAAAGGGGAACCCCCAGCGAGAGGCGACATGATGTTTCTGGAGGTGGAGCATTACCGGGTATAAAGATCTCCTTTTCTCCAATGTAATAGATTAGAGGTCACAAAAACATTTTTATTTTCTCCCTCTTATAGTCAATTGATGAAGAGTTTCTAGGGGAGTTTAACAGAGGCTCCTTACTGTCATAATAATGAAAGAGGACTATGATGTCTCATGGGCGGGCTCCCATTGGGGGTTTGGGGGACTGCGAGTGGTGGGCTTTGTCCATGTACCAGTCAATATCAATGATCTTAGGTGCCAATTTAGTGAAGAGACCTTTCAGATAGAACTGAAAGTCAGTAACTCCCACTGTTTCTGGAACTCCTCTAATTTGGAGGTTTTGATGCTTTTTTTGGTTTTCCAAAGCCTCCTGTTGGGCCTGTAGTTGTGTCATTTGTTGCTTAAAGATATAATTGTCTTCCTCCAGTACTTGGACATATTGTAATGAGTCATCAAATTTAGACTCCAAATGATCCGTGCGTTCCTCTATTAAAGCTACAGTATTCCCCCCCCCCCCCCCCCCCCCCCCCCGCAATTCCTGTGCTATTTTCCTGACTTCCAGTGATATTGTGCAAGTGATGTTTTGTAGCAGGGTATGTAATTTATCATCTAGTACATCTGCTGTTAGGTAGGGTGGTGAGGAGTGTGTTGAAGGGGCATGACATAACATTACCACCTGTGCTAGAGCCTCTGCACCATCCACGATCACCTCTGGGAGAGACGCTTCACTTGAGGCAGGGGGACAGGAATCAATCCATGTTTGTAGGCCTCAGGTCTTTGGCTGGCAAAGAGGGAGTTTTTTGGCACCCTATTTTACCTATGTGGATCCTGGGTGAGAGCTGAGTCCAATGGCAGTGCTCCCCTGCTAATAAATGCTGTTGTTTGCTATGGAGGAGCTGGAGAGGGTAGCGGCATGGCGGAGCGGGTCAGTTTTATGTTCGCCATCATCAACACTAATGCATGCACCCCCCCCCCCAGCTAACATATCTTCATCAACAAATTATTGGGTGTAATGTATGAATTTCTCTTCTAATTATGCATGTTAATAAATATGATATATACAAAGGTATTTTTGATATAATGGTGATGATTTCATTTGAATATCCTCTGTACCTCAGACAATATAGGGTTCATGATTGTCTTTCTAAATAAAAACTATTTTTTACAAAAGGACCCAAACTACTATAAAAAGCAAGTTTTGATAACTTTTCACTTCAAGTGTCAATTCAGGTTCAAATGAAATATTTATTTCTCTTTCTTAATCACCCCAACCTGATTGGGTATCTGGAGTGAACACTGGTTGATGTATAAGTACGTCTTTAGCAAATTAATGGTCGAGCTATAAATAGCGGCCATTTTGGAATTCTTCATTTGCCTGCAGTCATTGAACAGAGGCAGACCGCTCTGTATTAGGGACAGGGACAGAGTTAGGGCCACAGAAACGATACTTGGGGACAGAGAAACGATACTTAGGGACAGAGAACTATTACTCAGGGACAAGAATTGTTAATTAGGGCCACAGAATCGTTACTTAGGGACAAAGAAACGCTAGTTAGGGCCACAGAATTCATACTCAGGGACAGACAGAATTGTTACTGAGTGCCAGAGAATTGTTACTTAGGGCCACAGAAACGTTATTAGGGCCACAGAATTGTTACTCAGGGACAGACAGAATTGTTACTGAGTGCCAGAGAATTGTTACTTAGGGCCACAGAAACGTTATTAGGGCCACAGAATTGTTACTCAGGGACAGACAGAATTGTTACTGAGTGCCAGATAATTGTTACTTAGTTACTTTAGGGGCCACAGAATTGTTACTCGGGACACACAGAATTGTTACTCAGGGACAGACACAGAATTGTTACTGAGGGCCACAGAACTGTTACTTAGGGCCACAGAATTGTTACTCGCACAGACACAGAATTGTTACTCGCACAGGGACACAGAATTGTTACTGAGGGCCACAGAACTGTTACTTAGGGCCACAGAATTGTTACTCGCACAGACACAGAATTGTTACTCGCACAGACACAGAATTGTTACTGAGGGCCACAGAACTGTTACTTAGGGCCACAGAATTGTTACTCGCACAGACACAGAATTGTTACTCGCACAGACACAGAATTGTTACTCGCGAGGGACACAGAACTGTTACTTGGGGCCACAGAAACGTTACTTAGGGCCACAGAATTGTTACTGAGGGCCACAGAATTGTTACTTAGGGCCACAGAATTGTTACTCGCACAGACACACAGAATTGTTACTCAGGGACACAGAATTGTTACTGAGGCCACAGAACTGTTACTTAGGGCCACAGAATTGTTACTCGCACAGACACAGAATTGTTACTCGCACAGGGCACAGAAATTGTTACTGAGGGCACAGAACACAGAAATTGTTACTCGCACAGACACAGAATTGTTACTCAGGGACACAGACACACAGAACTGTTACTGAGGGCCACAGAACTGTTACTTAGGGCCACAGAATTGTTACTCGCACAGACACAGAAATTGTTACTCGCACAGACACAGAATTGTTACTCAGGGACACAGAACTGTTACTTAGGGCCACAGAACTGTTAGTTAGGGCCACAGAATTGTTACTCGCACAGACACAGAATTGTTACTCGCACAGACACAGAATTGTTACTGAGGGCCACAGAACTGTTACTTGGGGCCACAGAAACGTTTAATCAGGGACACAGAATTGTTACTGAGGGCCACAGAACTTACTTAGGGCCACAGAAATTGTTACTCGCACAGACACAGAATTGTTACTCGCACAGACACAGAATTGTTACTGAGGGCCACAGAACTGTTACTTGGGGCCACAGAAACGTTAACTCAGGGACACAGAATTGTTACTGAGGGCCACAGAAACTGTTACTTAGGGCCACAGAATTGTTACTCGCACAGACACAGAATTGTTACTCGCACAGACACAGAATTGTTACTGAGGGCCACAGAACACTTACTTAGGGCCACAGAATTGTTACTCCACAGCACTCAGCACACACAGAATTGTTACTCAGGGACACAGAAACTGTTACTGAGGGCCACAGAACGTTACTTAGGGCCACAGAATTGTTACTCGCACAGACACAGAATTGTTACTCGCACAGACACAGAATTGTTACTGAGGGCCACAGAACAGTTACTTAGGGCCACAGAATTGTTACTCGCACAGACACAGAATTGTTACTCGCAGGGACACAGAATTGTTACTGAGGGCCACAGAATTGTTACTTAGGGCACAGAACAGAATTGTTACTCAGGGACACAGAATTGTTACTGAGGGCACAGAACTGTTACAGGGCCACAGAATGTTACTTAGGGCCACAGAATTGTTACTCGCACAGACACAGAATTGTTTGTTACTCGGGACACAGAATTGTTACTGAGGGCCACAGAACTGTTACTTAGGGCCACAGAATTGTTACTCGGGGCCACAGAACAGAATTGTTACTCGCACAGACACAGAATTGTTACTCGACAGAATTGTTACTCGCACAGACACAGAATTGTTACTCAGGGACACAGAACTGTTACTGAGGGCCACAGAACTGTTACTTAGGGCCACAGAATTGTTACTCGCACAGACACAGAATTGTTACTCGCACAGACACAGAATTGTTACTCAGGGACACAGAAACTGTTACTTAGGGGCCACAGAACTGTTACTTAGGGCCACAGAATTGTTACTCGCAGAACAGAATTGTTACTCGCACAGACACAGAATTGTTACTCGCAGGGACACAGAATTGTTACTGAGGGCCACAGAATTGTTACTTGGGGCCACAGAAACGTTACTCAGGGACACAGAATTGTTACTTGGCCACAGAATTTACTGAGGGCCACAGAACTGTTACTTAGGGCCACAGAATTGTTACTCGCACAGACACAGAATTGTTACTCGCAGGGACACAGAAACTTGTTACTGAGGGCCACAGAACTGTTACTTGGGGCCACAGAAACGTTAATCAGGGACACAGAATTGTTACTGAGGGCCACAGAACTGTTACTTAGGGCCACAGAATTGTTACTCGCACAGACACAGAATTGTTATCAGGGACACAGACACAGAATTGTTACTGAGGGCCACAGAACTGTTACTTAGGGCCACAGAATTGTTACTCGCACACACAGACACAGAATTGTTACTGAGGGCCACAGAACTGTTACTTAGGGCACAGAATTGTTACTCGCAGGGACACAGAATTGTTACTGAGGGCCACAGAACTGTTACTTAGGGCCACAGAATTGTTACTCGCACAGACACAGAATTGTTACTCGCACAGACACAGAATGTTACTGAGGGCCACAGAACTGTTACTTAGGGCCACAGAATTGTTACTCTCAGAATTGTTACACAGGGACACAGAATTGTTACTGAGGGCCACAGAACTGTTACTTAGGGCCACAGAATTGTTACTCACAGAACAGAATTGTTACTCGCACAGGACACACAGAATTGTTACTCAGGGACACAGAACTGTTACTTAGGGCCACAGAACTGTTACTTAGGGCCACAGAATTGTTACTCGCACAGACACACAGACACAGAATTGTTTACTCGCACAGACACAGAATTGTTACTGAGGGCCACAGAACTGTTACTTGGGGCCACAGAAACAGAAACGTTACTCAGGGACACAGAATTGTTACTGAGGGGCCACAGAACTGTTACTTAGGGCCACAGAATTGTTACTCGCACACAGAATTGTTACTCAGACACAGAATTGTTACTGAGGGCCACAGAACTGTTACTTGGGGCCACAGAAACGTTAATCAGGGACACAGAATTGTTACTGAGGGCCACAGAAACTGTTACTCGGGCACAGAATTGGGCACAGAAATTGTTACTCGCACAGGGACACAGAATTGTTACTCAGGGGACACAGAACTGTTACTGAGGGCCACAGAACTGTTACTTAGGGCCACAGAATTGTTACTCGCACAGACACAGAATTGTTACTCGCACAGACACAGAATTGTTACTGAGGGCCACAGAACTGTTGTTACTTGGGGCCACAGAAACGTTAATCAGGGACACAGAATTGTTACTGAGGGCCACAGAACTGTTACTTAGGGCCACAGAATTGTTACTCGCACAGACACAGAATTGTTACTCGCACAGACACAGAATTGTTACTGAGGGCCACAGAACTGTTACTTGGGGCCACAGAAACACAGTTAATCAGGGACACAGAATTGTTACTGAGGGCCACAGAACTTACTTAGGGCCACAGAATTGTTACTCGCACAGACACAGAATTGTTACTCAGCACAGACACAGAATTGTTACTGAGGGCCACAGAACTGTTACTTGGGGCCACAGAAACGTTACTCAGGGACACAGAATTGTTACTGAGGGCCACAGAACTGTTACTTAGGGCCACAGAATTGTTACTCGCACAGACACAGAATTGTTACTGAGGGACACAGAACTGTTACTGAGGGCCACAGAACTGTTACTTAGGGCCACAGAATTGTTACTCGCACAGACACAGAATTGTTACTCGCACAGACACAGAATTGTTACTGGGACACAGAACTGTTACTGAGGGCCACAGAACTGTTACTGAGGGCCACAGAACTGTTACTTAGGGCCACAGAATTGTTACTCGCACAGACACAGAATTGTTACTCGCACAGACACAGAAATGTTACTGAGGGCCACAGAACTGTTACTTGGGGCCACAGAAACATTACTCAGGGACACAGAATTGTTACTGAGGGCCACAGAATTGTTACTCGCACAGACACAGAATTGTTACTCGCACAGACACAGAATTGTTACTGAGGGCCACAGAACTGTTACTTGGGGCACAGAAACGTTACTCAGGGGACACAGAATTGTTACTGAGGGCCACACAGAACTGTTACTTAGGGGCCACAGAACTTGTTACTCGCAGGGACACAGAATTGTTACTCAGGGACAGACAGAATTGTTACTCAGGGACACACAGAATCGTTTAATTAAAGAGTATGTCAGACAACATGCAGAGGAGTGGCAGAGGAGGCAATGTTTTAGGAGCGAGCAGACGTGGCAGCAGGCAGCAGAGGAAGAGGGGTCGAGGCAGCACTATTCGCAGCCAGAGGCCAGTGCTCCCGGTGTCATCCAGCGGTCGTGTCTCCACCGACAACCCTGCCGTCATCGATTGGTTGGCTCGGTCGTCTTCCTCTTCCCCCAGGTCACCTCTGACACCTACAGCCAACGGTCGGTGGGTACGTCAGACACAACCGTTAGTTGGCATGGCCCGGGACCAAGCCCACTGAAATCACGTGTCCTCTACCTGCCCCTGTCCTTTGGTGTTCCCTCACCAAGCGAAGTATCGCATGCTGTGGGCTCAGCCCCACTGTACAGTGAGGAAGAGCTAACAGAGGGCGGTCAGGAACGGGGGGGGGAGACATCCGCCTTTTCAGCAGCCAGGCGAAGAAGTAAGTGGCGTGGCGAGGAGAGTGGCCCGGTAGCCGGTCTAGAGACAGGTCTGTCTCCTGACCCAGACGCAGCCGAGGGGGGCTAGTAGTGAGGCGGAGACCCTACTTGATGATGAGGAGGTTGATCGCACTTGGCAGCCTCGTCGTCATCAGGCAATTTCTTCCGCATCATCAGGAGAAGAGGGTGGCAGCTTGGCAGTGAGCGAAAAACAGTCGGTGGGTTGCCCAGGAGAGCAGCAGCAGGGTCGCAGCAGTGTCAGTGGAAGCAGTGTCAGTGTCAGTGGAGCCAAACGGCCACGGAGTAGAGCACCAGCTCCACTGCAGCCTACCACCACGGCCAGTAGTGGTGCCGGTGTGCACGGAGGAAGCAGCAGTCAGCCAGTGAGGAGTATCGGGGGCAAAGTTTCCTACTCGGCGGTGTGTGGCAATTTTTTCGTCAAGCCGCCCGAGGAAGTAAACGTAGCCGTATGTCGACTATGTGGCCAGAAAGTCAAGCGTGGCCAGGGGGCCCATGTTGGGACTACAGCGTTGCGGCAGCATATGCAGCGTCGCCATTTGGTGGCCTGGGAAAACCGTGATAAAGATACGGCGGTTCTGCCCGCCCCAGCCCCCCTCCATCACCCGCTCCGTTACTTGCTCCGTCACCCGACGTCAATCGCCCTCCATCAGCCAGTCAAGGCTCCAACACCTCTGCTGAGGGGAGTTGTCGCTCGTTGGCATCTTCCGCTCGTTCAGATGCTCCTTCTCCTGCTACTCCTCTTCACGGATTCCCCGTCAGCAGTCTTTCTTGGAATCCGTTTCCAAGAGACAACAGTTTGCGAGCACGCACCCGACGGTGCAAAAGCTGAACGTCCTCCTGTCCAAGTTGCTGGTGCTGCAGTCCCTCCCTTTCCAAGTGGTGGACTCAGCACCTTTCAGAGAAATGATGGCTTGTGCCGCGCCGCGCGGTGGAGAGTGCCAAGCCGTCATTTCTTCGCCAAAAAGGCAGTGCCAGCCCTGCATTCACATGTAGAAGACATGGTGGGCCAGTCTTTGAGCATGTCGGTCTCTGCCAAAGTGCACGGCAGCGCCGACGTGTGGAGCTGTAACTACGGTCAGGGACAGTACATGTCATTTACGGCCCACTGGGTGAACGTGGTGCCGTCACAGCCGCACCAGCAACTTGGACAGGTCACGCCGCTTTTGCCTCCACGTTTTTGCACGTCCTTGGTCCGGCAAAGATGTCCGCCTCTACCACCTCTTCTTCCGCCGTGTCCTCCTCAGCCCGCCACCCCCCGTGCCAAGTCCCATTACCCGACCGGCATATATCACATGTGCAGGGCGCAACGGTGTCACGCTGTTCTGCACCTGGTATGCCTTGGCGAACGTAGTCACACAGGGGGAGGAACTTCTGAGTGTAATGAACAGAGAAATCGACAGATGGCTGTCTCCCGCGCAAACTGAAAATCGGAACCATGTTGACCGACAACGGAAAGAACATGGTGTCTGCTCTGCGTCAAGGAAGGTTGTGCCATGCGCCATGCATGGCTCACGTGTTCAATCTGGTTGTCAAGCGGTTCCTAAAATCCACCATCCCACTGCAAGACATCCTTAAAATGTCACGTAAACTTTGCATGCATTTCAGCCATTCCTACACCGCAAAGCACACCCTCCTTGAGCTGCAGCGGCAGAACGGAATTCCACATCATCGCCTGATCTGCGACGTTGCAACAAGGTGGAATTCAACCCTACACATTAGACCGCCTTTACGAGCAGCGAAAGGCCATCACCGATTTCCTGATGTTACAAGCGGATAAAGGTACTCCCCTGTGTAACTTCGATGATGTCAGCCATTGGCAGCTCATGCGTGACACCTGCCGCTTGCTCAGGCCCTTTGAGGAGGCCACGCTATTCGTGAGTCGGCAGGACTATGGGATGAACGACGTCATTCCTCTGTTGCACGTCCTTGAACAAATGCTGTTAACAATGGCTGGTCAGGGTGCGGTAGACGTGGCGCACAGATCTCAACGCCACATGACCCCTGTGGGGGCAGGACAGGAAGAAGAGGAGGAGGTAGAGGAGGACATTTGTGCTCAGGAATTATTGAGTGAAATGGGTGGTTTTTCCACTCAGCGGACAGGAGTGGAGGAGCAGGAGAGCATCTGGTAGAGGAGGAGGAGGAGGAGACAGAGGACCCAGACGCACCGTGGCAGTATGCTGGGGAGATGGAGGCAGGGAGTCCCTCGCATTCCTTGGCACAAATGGCCCATAGCATGCTCGGTTGCTTGCGTAGCGACAGCCGAATAATAACCATCAGACAGAGGGATGACTTTTGGCTGTCCACCTTGTTGGACCCTCGCTACCGTTCAAAAATGGTGGCCTTTTTCACACCTGCTGAGAGGGAGGCCAAAATAACGTACTATAAAAACCACCTATGTAGTCAGTTGGTCTCTGCCTTTGTGCGCCAACGTCCATCCTCAGACACTGTGGGCCCTGTGCGCTCGCGTTCCGCTGCCATGGCAGCAGGGGGAGGGGTGGGGTGGTAGGAGCAGTGGCAGCTCCACCAGCAGCGGCTGCCTCAGTCTGCAGTCGATGATGAGTAGCTTTCTTCACCAGCGCAGTGAGGAAACTAACTAACCAACCAGCCGCAGCAGCAGCAGCAGCAGCATCAGGTGGACCTGGAGCAGGACCTCAAACAACAGGCTTGGGCCTACTTGGACAGCACCCTGCCAACCGAGGTAGACAATCCCCTTGACTACTGGTCAACGAAACTTGACCTTTGGCCCCAACTAGCTGAATTTGCCCTTGAAAGGCTGTCATGCCCGGCCAGTAGCGTGGCATCGGAGCGCGTGTTTAGTGCGGCAGGAGGTATTGTAACTCCGCGGAGGACACGACTGTCCCCACCCAAAGTGTGGAGAGACTCACGTTTGTGAAAATGAATCAGGCGTGGATTAGTCTGGATTTCAAACCACCAGTTCCTGACACAACTGACTAAATCCGCCATGAATCATGCCTCAAACATGTGCCACTTTGAGGTCTCCTCACACACTGCTGGTGTGTTGAATTTTTTGACATAGGGTGCTGGCAGATTACGGGCTCCCATAGCTGCTGCCAGGCCCCTAATCTGCCATAGGCCCCTATATACCGCCTCCTCATGCTGCTGCCAGGTCCAGAGTCTCTCATGGGTCCCTGTACGGCCTCCCATTGTGCTGTCTCCATCGCCACACTCTGCCATGTGCCACTTTCAGGTCTCCTCACACACTGCTGGTGTGTAGAATTTTTTGACATAGGGTGCTGGCAGATTACGGGCCTCCCATAGCTGCTGCCAGGCCCCTAATCTGCCATAGGCCCCTATATATACCGCCTCCTCATGCTGCTGCCAGGTCCAGAGTCTCTCATGGGTCCCTGTACGGCCTCCCATTGCTGCTGTCTCCATCGCCACACTCTGCCATGTGCCACTTTCAGGTCTCCTCACACACTGCTGGTGTGTGTGAATTTTTTTGACATAGGGTGCTGGCAGATTACGGGCCTCCCATAGCTGCTGCCAGGCCCCTAATCTGCCATAGGCCCCTATATACCGCCTCCTCATGCTGCTGCCAGGTCCAGAGTCTCTCATGGGTCCCTGTACGGCCTCCCATTGCTGCTGTCTCCATCGCCACACTCTGCCATGTGCCACTTTCAGGTCTCCTCACACCTGGTGTGTAGAATTTTTTGACATAGGGTGCTGGCAGATTACGGGCCTCCCATAGCTGCTGCCAGGCCCCTAATCTGCCATAGGCCCCTATATACCGCCTCCTCATGCTGCTGCCAGGTCCAGAGTCTCTCATGGGTCCCTGTACGGCCTCCCATTTGCTGCTGTCTCCATCGCCACACTCTGCCATGTGCCACTTTCAGGTCTCCTCACACACTGCTGGTGTGTAGAATTTTTTGACATAGGGTGCTGGCAGATTACGGGCCTCCCATAGCTGCTGCCAGGCCCCTAATCTGCCATAGGCCCCTATATACCGCCTCCTCATGCTGCTGCCAGGTCCAGAGTCTCTCATGGGTCCCTGTACGGCCTCCCATTGCTGCTGTCTCCATCGCCACACTCTCTGCCATGTGCCACTTTCAGGTCTCCTCACACACTGCTGGTGTGTAGAATTTTTTGACATAGGGTGCTGGCAGATTACGGGCCTCCCATAGCTGCTGCCAGGCCCCTAATCTGCCATAGGCCCCTATATACCGCCTCCTCATGCTGCTGCCAGGTCCAGAGTCTCTCATGGGTCCCTGTACGGCCTCCCATTGCTGCTGTCTCCATCGCCACACTCTGCCATGTGCCACTTTCAGGTCTCCTCACACACTGCTGGTGTGTAGAATTTTTTGACATAGGGTGCTGGCAGATTACGGGCCTCCCATAGCTGCTGCCAGGCCCCTAATCTGCCATAGGCCCCTATATATACCCTCCTCCTGCTGCTGCTGCCAGGTCCAGAGTCTCTCATGGGTCCCTGTACGGCCTCCCATTGCTGCTGTCTCCATCGCCACACTCTGCCATGTGCCACTTTCAGGTCTCCTCACACACTGCTGGTGTGTAGAATTTTTTGACATAGGGTGCTGGCAGATTACGGGCCTCCCATAGCTGCTGCCAGGCCCCTAATCTGCCATAGGCCCCTATATACCGCCTCCTCATCCTGCTGCTGCCAGGTCCAGTCCAGCTCTCATGGGTCCCTGTACGGCCTCCCATTGCTGCTGTCTCCATCGCCACACTCTGCCATGTGCCACTTTCAGGTCTCCTCACACACACTGCTGGTGTGTAGAATTTTTTGACATAGGGTGCTGGCAGATTACGGGCCTCCCATAGCTGCTGCCAGGCCCCTAATCTGCCATAGGCCCCTATATACCGCCTCCTCATGCTGCTGCCAGGTCCAGAGTCTCTCATGGGTCCCTGTACGGCCTCCCATTGCTGCTGTCTCCATCGCCACACTCTGCCATGTGCCACTTTCAGGTCTCCTCACACACTGCTGGTGTGTAGAATTTTTTGACATAGGGTGCTGGCAGATTACGGGCCTCCCATATAGCTGCTGCCAGGCCCCTAATCTGCCATAGGCCCCTATATACCGCCTCCTCATGCTGCTGCCAGGTCCAGAGTCTCTCATGGGTCCCTGTACGGCCTCCCATTGCTGCTGTCTCCATCGCCACACTCTGCCATGTGCCACTTTCAGGTCTCCTCACACTGCTGCTGGTGTGTAGAATTTTTTGACATAGGGTGCTGGCAGATTACGGGCCTCCTCCCATAGCTGCTGCCAGGCCCCTAATCTGCCATAGGCCCCTATATACCGCCTCCTCATGCTGCTGCCAGGTCCAGAGTCTCTCATGGGTCCCTGTACGGCCTCCCATTGCTGCTGTCTCCATCGCCACACTCTGCCATGTGCCACTTTCAGGTCTCCTCACACACTGCTGGTGTGTAGAATTTTTTGACATAGGGTGCTGGCAGATTACGGGCCTCCCATAGCTGCTGCCAGGCCCCTAATCTGCCATGGGCCCCTATATACCGCCTCCTCATGCTGCTGCCAGGTCCAGAGTCTCATGGGTCCCTGTACGGCCTCCCATTGCTGCTGTCTCCATCGCCACACTCTGCCATGTGCCACTTTCAGGTCTCCTCACACTGCTGGTGTGTGTAGAATTTTTTGACATAGGGTGCTGGCAGATTACGGGCCTCCCATAGCTGCTGCCAGGCCCCTAATCTGCCAGGCCCCTATATACCGCCTCCTCATGCTGCTGCCAGGTCCAGAGTCTCTCATGGGTCCCTGTACGGCCTCCCCCATTGCTGCTGTCTCCATCGCCACACTCTGCCATGTGCCACTTTCAGGTCTCCTCACACTGCTGCTGTGTAGAATTTTTTTTGACATAGGGTGCTGGCAGATTACGGGCCTCCCATAGCTGCTGCCAGGCCCCTAATCTGCCATAGGCCCCTATATACCGCCTCCTCATGCTGCTGCCAGGTCCAGAGTCTCTCATGGGTCCCTGTACGGCCTCCCATTGCTGCTGTCTCCCATCGCCACACTCTGCCATGTGCCACTTTCAGGTCTCCTCACACACTGCTGGTGTGTGTGAATTTTTTGACATAGGGTGCTGGCAGATTACGGGCCTCCCATAGCTGCTGCCAGGCCCCTAATCTGCCATGGGCCCCTATATACCGCCTCCTCATGCTGCTGCTGCTGCCAGGTCCAGAGTGTCTCCCTGTACGGCCTCCCATTGCTGCTGTCTCCATCGCCACACACTCTGCCCATGTGCCACTTTCAGGTCTCCTCACACACTGCTGGTGTGTTAATTTTTTGACATAGGGTGCTGGCAGATTACGGGCCTCCCATAGCTGCTGCCAGGCCCCTAATCTGCCATAGGCCCCTATATACCGCCTCCTCATGCTGCTGCTGCCAGGTCCAGTCTCTCATGGGTCCCTGTACGGCCTCCCATTGCTGCTGTCTCCATCGCCACACTCTGCCATGTGCCACTTTCAGGTCTCCTCACACACTGCTGGTGTGTAGAATTTTTTGACATAGGGTGCTGGCAGATTACGGGCCTCCCATAGCTGCTGCCAGGCCCCTAATCTGCCATAGGCCCCTATATACCGCCTCCTCATGCTGCTGCCAGGTCCAGAGTCTCTCATGGGTCCCTGTACGGCCTCCCATTGCTGCTGTCTCCATCGCCACACTCTGCCATGTGCCACTTTCAGGTCTCCTCACACACTGCTGGTGTGTGTGTAGAATTTTTTGACATAGGGTGCTGGCAGATTACGGGCCTCCCATAGCTGCTGCCAGGCCCCTAATCTGCCATGGGCCCCCCTATATACCGCCCGCCTCCTCATGCTGCTGCCAGGTCCAGAGTCTCTCATGGGTCCCTGTACGGCCTCCCATTGCTGCTGTCTCCATCGCCACACTCTGCCATGTGCCACTTTCAGGTCTCCTCACACTGCTGGTGTGTAGAATTTTTTGACATAGGGTGCTGGCAGATTACGGGCCTCCCATAGCTGCTGCCAGGCCCCTAATCTGCCATGGGCCCCTATATACCGCCTCCTCATGCTGCTGCCAGGTCCAGAGTCTGCATGGGTCCCTGTACGGCCTCCCATTGCTGCTGTCTCCATCGCCACACTCTGCCATGTGCCACTTTCAGGTCTCCTCACACTGCTGGTGTGTTGAATTTTTTGACATAGGGTGCTGGCAGATTACGGGCCTCCTATAGCTGCTGCCAGGCCCCTAATCTGCCATAGGCCCCTATATACCGCCTCCTCATGCTGCTGCCAGGTCCAGAGTCTCTCATGGGTCCCTGTACGGCCTCCCATTGCTGCTGTCTCCATCGCCACACTCTGCCATGTGCCACTTTCAGGTCTCCTCACACTGCTGGTGTGTTGAATTTTTTGACATAGGGTGCTGGCAGATTACGGGCCTCCCATTGCTGCTGCCAGGCACGTAATCTGCCATGGGCCCCCGTACCGACTCCTCATGCTGTGACGTTGCAACAAGGTGGAATTCAACCCTACATATGTTAGACCGCCTTTACGAACAGCGAAAGGCCATCACAGATTTCCTGATGTTAAAAGCGGATAAAGGTACTCCCTGTGTAACTTAGATGTCAGCCATTGGCAGCTCATGCGTGACACCTGCGCTTGCTCAGGCCCTTTGAGGAGGCCACGCTATTCGTGAGTCGGCAGGACTATGGGATGAACGACGTCATTCCTCTGTTGCACGTCCTGGAACAAAATGCTGTTAACAATGGCTGGTCAGGGTGCGGTAGACGTGGCGCACAGATCTCAACGCCACATGACCCCTGTGGGGGCAGGACAGGAAGAAGAGGAGGAGGTAGAGGAGGACATTGGTGCTCAGGAATTATTGAGTGAAATGGGTGGTTTTTCCACTCAGCGGACAGGAGTGGAGGAGCAGGAGCATCTGGTAGAGGAGGAGGAGGAGGAGGAGACAGAGGACCCAGACGCACCGTGGCAGTATGCTGTGGAGATGGAGGCAGGGAGTCCCTCGCATTCCTTGGCACAAATGGCCCATAGCATGCTCGGTTGCTTGCGTAGCGACAGCCGAATAATAACCATCAGACAGAGGGATGACTTTTGGCTGTCCACCTTGTTGGACCCTCGCTACCGTTCAAAAATGGTGGTGGCCTTTTTCACACCTGCTGAGAGGGAGGCCAAAATAACGTACTATAAAAAACCACCTATGTAGTCAGCTGGTCTCTGCCTGTCTGTGCGCCACGTCCATCCTCAGACACTGTGGGCCCTGTGCGCTCGCGTTCCGCTGCCATGGCAGCAGGGGAGGGGTGGGGTGGTAGGAGCAGTGGCAGCTCCACCAGCAGCGGCTGCCTCAGTCTGCAGTCGATGATGAGTAGCTTTCTTCACCAGCGCAGTGAGGAAACTACTAACCAGCCGCAGCAGCAGCAGCAGCAGCATCAGGTGGACCTGGAGCAGGACCTCAAACAACAGGCTTAGGCCTACTTGGACAGCACCCTGCCAACCGAGGTAGACAATCCCCTTGACTACTGGGCAACGAAACTTGACCTTTGGCCCCAACTAGCTGAATTTGCCCTTGAAAGGCTGTCATGCCCGGCCAGTAGCGTGGCATCGGAGCGCGTGTTTTTAGTGCGGCAGGAGGTATTGCAACTCCGCGGAGGACACGACTGTCCACCCAAAGTGTGGAGAGACTGACGTTTGTGAAAATGAATCAGGCGTGGATTAGTCTGGATTTCAAACCCAGTTCCTGACACAACTGACTAAATCCGCCATGAATCATGCCCCAAACATGTGCCACTTTCAGGTCTCCTCACACTGCTGGTGTGTTACATTTTTTGTCATAGGGTGCTGGCAGATTACGGGCCTCCCATAGCTGCTGCCAGGCCCCTAATCTGCCATGGGCCCCTATACCCGCCTCCTCATGCTGCTGCCAAGTCCAGAGTCTCTCATGGGTCCCTGTACGGCCTCCCATTGCTGCTGTCTCCATCGCCACACTCTGCCATGTGCCACTTTCAGGTCTCCTCACACTGCTGGTGTATTCCATTTTTTGTCATAGGGTGCTGGCAGATTACGGGCCTCCCATAGCTGCTGCCAGGCCCCTAATCTGCCATGGGCCCCTATACCGCCTCCTCATGCTGCTGCCAGGTCCAGAGTCTCTCAT